GCACTTGTACAGACTTATAAAGCTCATGAGTTCTGTCTGCATATTAAACAGAATGGAACCATTACACAGAATATAATCAAACCTAGGAAAGTTAACTGGTTGTGTTATATTGGTTTGGTAAATGCCATAGGTGGGGTAGAGTGGGTCGCTCGTGGATGGAATAGACAGGTACTGAAGCCCGTCTCCTACATTATTTGTGAAAAACCTATGTACAGGTACCGTCACAGGAATTGATAAATAAACGCTCTCTATTTGTTTCTATTTTAATTTTTACGATATACCAAGTTAAACCTTTTAGGAAAATAAATAATCATTAGTTTTTTTTAGATAGTAGACCTGTCAAGTTAGCCCGAAAAATAGAGGTACCCTTGCATAAATTCTCAAGAAGTTGAATTTTTACATGAACGTTAGGGATACCAGTATAATGAAATTGTGAAAAGACCCCATCTCCACTGTGTGCAAAAAAAAATTATGTAAGTTCAAAGTTCGCAAAAATGGGTATTTTGTTTTTTTTTTGCGAAACGGTTAGTTTTATGATAAAAATAGTTGTTATAGATTAGTAACGTTTATCTTATAAACCTGGTATACGTTGTGCATGAAAGTTTACTAGGACGGCTGTAATAGTTTAACTAATATTAAGAGCGCAATGATGTGCATAGGCAGCGTAGTCATGCATATTAAAGGGAATAAACTAAAGCTCCAGTAAATTTAAGAATGGCTTTTTCTCAAAAATTGTGAATTTTAAGGGGAAGAAATGTATGAAAAATTTTGTAGATAGTTGCATGATCTACCTTTTTGTCTGACTTATTTTTGTCATAAAGCTTACCGTTTCGCAAAAAAAATTACAAAAAAAACACTTTTGTGAACTTTGACCATGCAAACAAATTTTTGCGCACTTGGAATGGACTTTTCATTATTTCATTAGAATGGTATCTCTAACGTTCATGCAAAAATTCAGCTTCTTGAGAATTTATGCAAGGGTGAATGTCTATTTTGACCGAACTTAGGTGAGGCCTGCGGTTCATCAACGTTAACGTCTATTTAATATTTTCGGAAATTGTTGCATACACCTATTTTTCTAAATATTGTCTCATTGCAAAACAATAAACGAAAGAAATTATTATTGGAATCAGTTATTTCGAAATGATAACACAAGCCATACACGTACTAAATATATGTTAAATAACATTTTGTGTTTAAATGTCATGAAGGTCAATACAGCGGACAGTTTCGTGTCTAGAATTGGTAACGGACATTTTAAAGTATAACCTAGTATTACTATATTGTGTGGTCCAACAGGGACTCGTTCACTCCGTTCATTTGTCTACAAAGCTTCAACGGAATTGCTTTTCTTTGAACTTCGTTCAGACTGGAAGTGATTAAAGTCGAGCCTGTCTTACCATCGATGATATATTTACACCATTTATAAGTGAATGCTTTAACAAATAATGTGTTTGCGGTCGCGGCGGCCCTACGGCGGCGCCCCCGACCTCGCGCCGTGATCCGTGCCCCGAGCACGAACAACTTGCGAAAAAGTATTCGTATCGTCTTCGACAAAATTTGTATGACATTTGTGCAGCGCCCCTATCGTGCGTAAAAGTAACTAATTTTGGCAGCACGAACGTTATGAATTTACTGTCGTATCGTAAACGTATCGTCAAGCATTCGATACGTTACACTTTATAAAGAAAATTGGCAGCACGAATGAAATTTTGACGTACGTTCGAAGGCTGGCTATCGAGCACCTGTCAAGCTTAGTCGAATGTTTATTCACCTAAGATTTAGCCGTGAGAAAAGTTTCGAAACAATCAATTTCTTTTAAAACTATTATTTGCAAGTATTAACGGTTAATTTTTTGTAGAGATAAAATGCAAAGACCGTCGCTTTAGTCCTATGTATGTTCATGTCGCAAGTTTAGTTGAAAATAAAAGGTATTCAACAACTAGATATAGTAGTAAGCAAATCTTGTTTTATCTATAAAGTGTAAACTAAATATTTGTCAGAAACATTTGAAGAAACTTCTACTACATTAATAAAATGTAGTATACTTAGTATGTACCTATATATATATATTAATCTAATTAATTATTTTTTAGTGAAATAAGGAGAAGAGAAAAACAAAGAATGATCAAAATGAAGAAAAATCTGTATGTTTGTAATATAAAATAATAGGTTTTTTACATGCTCACACGGTTTTTTTCAAAGATACCTATGCCTAAAAACCAGTCTAAATATTTATTGTCTGTCTGTTTGTTCTTCAAAACGGCTGGACCGATTTTGATAATATTTTACTACCAGGTAGCTGTCTATATAAGGAGTAATTTAGGCTAAAAAATTGCCCGGTCCGGGAATCGAACCCACTAAGGCAGCGCTTTTCAAATTCTACGCAAACAAAGTTTCGGGCACCAGCTAGTCCTTTAAATATAAATGACAACGAATTTCGAAATATATCGCTTGAAGCTAAGAAGTAGTTTGACTTAACCAACGAAATAACTAAAAATATACCAGCTAAATCCCTCTATAACCTGTTTAAATACCTTGGATTGCTCAGTAAGCTTTTTCCTTGAACAAATATCCAAAGCGGCATTGCTAGGCTCGTATCAAATATGGTTAGATAGAGGGGGTTACACAGCAGACAGGGATGAAAGGCATATAGTAAAAAATGAGCTAGTATGAATATTTTTTATTTATCATAATTTTAAAATGAATTACACAGAATTGGTTTTTATACATCACATACATATGTACATGTTATTTACAGAGAACATTATTTACTTTGAAAAAATTATATGTCTAGTTAATAATTTTAATTTTATTTCACACGATTGCGATTCTATTAACGGTTAAAATATCATTGCTTGTTTTGAGTTTATTTTTCTTCAGGAGGCTTCCACTCCTCTGCCACTGTGGTGACTGGAGAAGACTGAGAATGAACCTCAGATGCTGGTTAAGGAGGAGCGACAGTCGGTTGGCTGCTTGAGCCCGCAGTATTCCAATCTACAACAAAATATTACAACATTTATCACTTATATAGTAATGAATATAATGTTTTCAGACATCTGACACAACACCATCTAGTTTCAAACTAAGCAAAACTTGTACTATGAAACCTAGATTGACTGATATGAGACATTAGTTGTCCCTGGTGTGTTTATGTGTAGAATTGCCGTGGTGGTTTTCAAGTAACATTTATAAAGTGACAGATGCTATCTATATTTACAATTTAAACTTTATTTTAATGTCAAGTAGCAGTGTAAGTCTCATAACAACGAGAAATTTAATTATAAATATGAAGTTTATCATATTCTCAAACATCACATCGTTATTTTACATTCAGTATTGCAAATAGTAAATTTAATAAACACTCACCTTTCAAGAAATTACACCATAGCCACGTATTGTAAATGGCTTGTTCGCACTGACTTTTTTGATGTTGGGATTTTTGGCGCAGAAGATGATGAAACACTTCATCTGTGCTGTTCAACAGTTCGATTTATTGTGGCACGACTTACTGTGGTTTATTTTAAAGAAATCTTTCTCAGTTTCTTTTTACATAACACCCGTTGTGTTATGTAAAAGTTAGTGGTATACGACTTAGCTATTATTGGAGCCTTAGATTTTTGTCACAATCGACAGCCAACACGACGTAATAATAAAATTAATATTATAAATACTATAAAATGCTTCTTAAAGTTTCAAGGTTTACAAATAATCTTAAACATGGTGATGAATTTACAATAAAAATAATAAACAATTTATTGACATAGCGTCGTATCTATGTCAATAAATTGTCAAGTGGAGACGTGTTATTTAGAAACCGAAAAAAATGTCATAATAATTATTCTAATTCTCCAAATATACTACATTTTAAAATCTCCCATACCTCATTTAAGATTTATTATGTGTTTATATAAGTATATTTGTTTTAATTGTCAATAAATAGGTAGTTTAACCTAAAGTAATAAAAAGTTCACTATTTCATTATGTTTTCGAACGCATAGTTCATTCAATAAGATGTTGCATTCGTTCTTAAGTGCTCATCCTTATTTACGTTAGGATGACGTCACTAACGTAATCGTATCGAGCTCTCGATACCTTAACGTTAGTGCTTCGTGCTACCACCTATCGTAAAACTCCGTTAACGTTTCGAGAACTCGATACGTTTACGATACGCATTCGAAAATTTTTCGTGCTCGAGGCACCGTTCTCTTTCCATATCGCTTACATCTACCGACTCACTGTGTGCGAAAGGCCGCCAATAAACAGTTTGAATTTTAATGAATTGAACACTTGATGATGACAGTTTTTATTGAATGCTTTCAATAGCCGTCGATAACCGCTTGCTATCGGCTAGGCGGCGTGTTTGTTAACTTAAAATAATATAAGTTTATTGCGTATGAATCGATATTATTATTATTTTACGTTAATATTATATTTTCCGTCATCGTTCCACACGGCAAAATTTTATTACCTGGATAGTTGGCGCTCCACTACTGTGCGCTTTCCGAGACAATTTTTGCCCCGCACAACCAATCTGTGGAACGGGTTATCTTCTGCGATTTCCGGACCGATACGACCTTCAAACCTTCAAGAAAAAAGCGTACTCCTTCCTAAAAGGCCGGCAAGGCGTTTGTGACTCCTGAATTGCAGACGTTCATGGGCGGCGGTGGTCACTTTCCATCTAGTGACCCGTCTGCTCGTCTGCCCCCTCTAACATAAAAAAAAGCATTAATCGCCAAAGATGTATTCATAATCTTATCAGTTTTGTCATTTTCAGCGTTAAAAATAACTCACCTCTTGATTGAGAAATTGATCTGCTGGAATTAAATGAACCATTTTTAACAACGACTCTTCAACTTTTATAAAATCGATTACTGATGCGAATTTACCGGCTTATATATTACACACGCAATGCTGTTCCTATAAATTAACCTAAAAGTGTTATTATATGAAGTGTTGAGATACTCGAGTGTAACATGTAATGTTTTGTTGTATTCCAGGAAGGCGCGCCGCAAGGAGCGCGAGGGCGAGGCTACCGGCGACCCCAAGTTGTACCTGCAGGAGGCGCTCCTGGAACGCAAGCTTCCCGAGCTCGACATGCGCCAGCTCGTCGACCTGCCCGACGGACTCGACTATAACGAGTGGCTCGCCTCACACAGTTAGTATTCATTTGTCTTACAACTTCACCTTTGGTTCTGCATTACGTGACGGTCTGATTTGCAGTCCTAATATTAGTCTTCACATTTGTTTGATAGTCTTCTAACAGAGTACAATAGTGAGACGACTTTAGCTTTGTTACTTTGTTAAGAGCGATAGGTATGTAATATCGATTCATACGCAATAAACTCTGAATGAGTCACGTCAATAATCGCCACCCACGGTACTGCGCTTTCCTTGAGTATTGCGGTGCACTGACGCACCAGGGAAACTACTTCCAACTTGACAGACCTGCGACTTTTCCAAGAATACAGTAGGGTTATTGTATTTGCATCAATAAAATATGGAATATATTAGTGGCATTCAACATTGCGGTTTTCGTTAATGATAAATAGCGTTTGTGGAAGTGTTTGCTTGATGTCGAAACCAGATTGGTTCTTGTCTGCCTGTCTCTTGAATGTCAGTCTGTCTTCCATAAGTGGATATTTGATAGCATTTATGGACGCGCCCACGGCGCTCCGTGTACGGGCATTACGAGGACAGTTTCCTAAATCGTCATACGTTTTCAATTTACACTTTGTATACTTGAATGACTCTTTGAAATTACCCACAACAATGTCCATAAATGACACTGTTTGTTACTTTCCTTAAATGAGTAAGGATGGCCGGACATTATTCATTTCACTTACTGTATGGATAAACATCAGATTATCCCAGCATTGAATGTGTGAATTAAAAGATTAAATAAAAATATAAATTACTTACTTATCTCTTTAAAAATTCATTCCCTTCAGTTCCACTCGCTGTTCCGCTCTGAGGATTATGGAGTAAAGTTTAAGTTATCTACCTTCTACAAAATTTGGCTTCAGTTCCATTTGTAACTACAAATCCAAGCGTTTAAGTATATAAATTAACTTTTTAAATTATTTGCATAAAAATGGCACTAAGAAGAACTCTTCTGTAATTTCTTAATAATTTTTAATCTAAGATGGCTAACTCGCAACTTTATTTTCTTTTGATCTTGTAGTATTACATAAGTACGTTGATTCTATACTTATTGTTATGCTAAACATCTGCTCGTTTAGGTTCTGTATTACTGTTTAGACATAAAATACAAAACGTAATATAAGTCGTTTGTGGAAAAATACGTAATAGGAAGTGTATGAAGTCCAGAATATAATGAACGTCCGCAAGACAACGAAGTCTTGTTACGTTCGGCCAGCGGCGCGTCCTTGGCAGCGGTCGCGAAACTGACCGCCTCATTTAAACCCATTTATTAGTTTAACCGCGAACACAATAATTATGTACATATTCATTAGCGATGATACATTATACATGAATCAACCAGCTGTATCTGTGAGCTTCGACCTGCTCACTTGACACTGAACGATCTTGTCACCTTGGAAACTTTTGATGCTGTCTTATACGATACTTTAATGTAGGACTATACGCGGTATAGTTGTGAGTGATCTGTAATATTTGGTTAGGATCAGTGCCGAGCGACAACAATGGCTTTGTCGTCGGGGCCGCGAGACGCGACCGGTTCCTGGCGGTTCGTTGCCGTTCGGTGCGTCCAGTGATTCTAGCGCTAGTCGTGGCGCGTAACCGTAACGCGTATCAACCGTTTCACAAATACACGTATCAGATGACAGGCTTAATAGACATCGCCATATTCTACATTCGTCATTTTCATGTTCACTTTATTTTATTTACTCAAAAGGTTTTTGGTACTTAAGTCAAGGCAAATAAAAATCATATGTACTATAACAGAGAACTCTTCATCTTTCTTAATGCATCATATTATTTAATAAAACCCCTGAAATATTTAACCCTTACTCATCTTAAACGATTTACTTAAACCTCAACTGAAAGCTTACAAAGATTTGCAGAACCCGACCTACTGGGTTATGTATGGGAGATCGATCACAATCCGTATCATTAATACATTTGATATTATTATATACGGGTGAAGTCACCAGTGATCATGGCGCTTGCAACAGTGCCGAAACATCGGAAACTAACGCCGCCCGAAAATATACATTCTAAATATCCCGAAAATGACCATGACAGTTTCAATCAATATATTATTAATACATATTATAATATTTGTTAATAATGTTTTGCAACCACAGGTGATTGATAGCGACATATTTACACGACTTACGAAACTATATTTGATGAGAAACGAAGAAAGAAAACATTGTTTTAATTTTTTCAAATAATTGAAATGCAAACGTACAACATAAAAGCATACTTTATGATTCGCTTACATTTACTTAAGTACCTACCTTTCGAGGATACTTGTCTTAGAATAAAGAAGTTGTTGATTTCACTGTAGAGGTGTAAAGTGTTGTTGGTACAAAAGCAATATACAAAGATTAACTGTAAATGTGCACATTCCAGCGCTGGCGCTATTTGACCACGTGAACCTGCTGTACGGCACGGTGTCCGAGTTCTGCACGGCGGCGTCGTGTCCGGACATGACGGGCCCCGGGGGGCGCACCTACGCCTGGTACGACGACAGAGGCAAGAAGTCCCGCGTCGCCGCGCCACAATACGTCGACTATGTTATGACATTCACGCAAAAAACTGTCAGTGATGAAACAGTTTTTCCCACAAAATATGGTGAGTGCCAACAATGATCTATATTCTTTTTCCACCCTGGACACTAAGTCTAGATCTTAATCTGCAGTCAATTAGTGTCTTTTTCCCATTTGTCTCTTATATTTCCTCATTGGAGTTAATGCATAAGATTAAGCCTCTCCTCAGTTATCATAATGAGCTTTGGGAGTTTGGAGGGAATTTCAGTAATCAAGTGCAATGGCACAAGAATATCATTTGAAAACTATTGAACTACTTTAAATGACGAAAGCTTAGGAAAGTTTGATACTGTCACTTTGGATATTCTTCGACAACATCTGATTGTATAATTTACACATGACCTGATCCACAAAGATCCTATTTCGCTTTTCTGTTTCTTGTGATAAAACTGAGTTAGCGGGTAGGCAAGATAGAAATTCGCCATCACCAGAAACAATCCTATTCCCACGTAATTCTGATAACAGTAAACCTTGATAATTTCTGGGCGAATTTGGTTTCTTTATATCATCTCATGAGCTTATTCTTCAAAAAAGTAGTATTAATATCCTTTTATTTCGGCCTTTCTTTAGCTTACTATAATGCAATTATAATGAGCTTGAGAATTTATAACTAGAACACTAGGATCCCTGGTTACGCGTTCAGACAGTTTAACCGAAGTCTGACCACGATGCTTTAAATGAAAAAGCATACTCGTAATATGTAGCTGTAGAAAGTGTAGTAAGCTTAAGTGTTTGACAAATTTGTTTTAGAGATTCATCGTTGCTTAGAGTTTTTAACATTTCATTTCATATATGGTTTTCCCTAGATTACCACCGCAACTATATTATTATTATAGCGCAAGTAATTAATAAATTAATAATTACAAATTAAAATGGCGTAATCTCCAAATTCATTCATTTTTTTAGGCCAGTCTCCCCACTACTCAGTTTTTAGTTGAGCATGTTCATTTTGGTTGAATTAGTAGCTAATGAAATCGATCTCGTTGCGGCAGCGAACGAGTTCCCTGCACAGTTCGAGGTGGTGGTGCGGCGCGTGGTGCGGCTGCTGTTCCACGTGGTGGCGCACATGTACGCGGCGCACTTCCGCCAGCTCGCGCTGCTCCGCCTGCACGCGCACCTGCACCTCACGTTCGCGCACCTCACCGCGCTCGACACGCGCTTCTCGCTGCTCGACCACAAGGAGACCGAGGTAAGGGCCAGAAGAATGAAGTACACACAAAGAAGAAGTCACTGAAATCAATGTTTAACTAGTTAGTGTTATTAAGATTACGTTAGTGTCTCTTGCTTTTCACAATATTATTATTATTATTTTAATTGTCAGTGTACTTTTTGTGGTATAAGGAACAAAAAATCAGACGGGTAAGCGAGTCAAAATTCACATGTGCGTTGCGCCCTTTTAACCCCTTCCCCCAGAATCAGCAGTGCTATTCTCTAAGGAAACAGCCTTGCGTACAGCGCTGTCCAGCGTCGAACTTCAAACTAAGTTAGTTTGAAATCAATCAATAAATGAACGAAGGTGACGGTGACGCGACCTAAAAGTAAATTTGCTGTGTCTGCAAAGATGTACGGTTGTGAGACCGTGCAGTCATCCTCGACTCCCTGACAGTAGACGTTTGTTACAGGTGCTGCGGGACCTAGAAGTGGCGTTGCGCCTTACGGAGAGCGCTGGTGGGGCGGGGCCAGGTGCGGGGGCGGCGGGCGCGGGGGGCGAGGCGGGCGACGAGGCGTCGCCGCGACGGCGCTCGCCCGTGGTGACGCAGCCGCTGGCCACGGCGTGAGCACCCATCCGGCGCCGGCCCCGCCGCCTGTACTTACCGCCCCCGCCCCGCCGCCGCCCTGCGGCTCACGTGCGAGTTGAACAATTGTTAATTCTATTGTAAATATTTCGATCTGTTAAGTAGTTTTAGGTGATTACGATTAGTTTTACTTATAATTTGTGATCGCTTTGGTTGTAAATAAAAGTGATATTTGTTTAACTAATAAATTGAAAGCTTTATGAGAACTATGGCTTTTATTGATCGCACCCCCACGGTACGGAATAATCGCCACAACCAAGATGATTTGATAGTTTTTTTGGCTGTGACGATTAATTTTAATTCTAATACAATGGTCCTCTAACGTGGCCGCGGCTTCGACTTTGAAAGACTAGAGCAGACCAGTGTTCCAAAACTATTATATTAGACCTTTTTCTTAGCGTTCCATGGATTCACCGCGCGGATCCCGGGTCCGTCGTGCGATAGATCGGGCAACACATGCGACGTCGAAAGCGTCTGGGAATTGCGACTCAGGAATAGGTTTAGGGAGTAATCCTTGCGACGCCTCATTTTCCCCACCTTACTAATCGGGTAGAGTTAATTGGAAGGCGTTGAGGTAAAATTTTAACAGGTGGCTAATCGTAAAAAAATGTGCGCCATTTCAAAGCTGGGCCTCAATTCTGCTACTTTAATATTGTATCAATAGACTGTCGATGTAATGTCGTCGGAATAGTTTTGCACTTATTCTATTCTACAACTATGGAAGACCAATGGCCTCCCAATACATTTTACCTCCTGACCAATACATTTTAAATTTGTAAGAAAATGATATATTTAATTTTCCAGGTATCGCAATTTTGTTGATATCACCATTGATGACCTATATTACTATATCGACAGTCTTTTGACACTGTGAATTGATGTTAGTTGAATACTGATATTTCGACCGATGTCAATGGCGTCTCAAAGGCATCTCAATAGCGTCTCAATGGAATGACAGTGGCTTGGCGTTAACACAAAATAGCACAATTGAGGCCCTGGTGGGATACAAAATTCTCCTAGAGTTTACCATTCATTCTGTATCTCTAGGTTCACTGCGTGCCCCTTGTAGGTCTCGTTTTTATCTTATTTTAGGAAATATTAGTTTATTTCTTTGTCGGTCTGTTTTCTACCATTTCCCAATCCAACTCTACTGGACTGCGTACCCACCATGAATTTACCTTATTATACACATTACATTGTATACATTTTTATAAGTTGACTCGAAGTAAAAATGTTTAGGTATATTCCTAAACCTATCCAAAGCATTTGATACCGCCTCGATTCCTCTTCATATGAACAGGTTTGTATTCGTGGAAACGCGCTTTTGATTTTAAAGGACATGTCCCTACGCAACAAGTTAAAATAGGTGTACATATCTGAAGCCCCAATTCAGTAACGTAAGTACTGGAGCCCTTATGATTTGTGGAGTCCCACAGGGCAGTATACTTAGACCAAGTCTTTTTTTTTATATGCACCTTGTAAGGGACATCGTAACGAATACTGAAAAAGTGTATTTAGAGCATGATTCTGAGTCGACATTCATTGGAATTTTCTACCGGAATTTTCATTTTTTTTAAATTTGCCATTTCTTTTTGGTTAAAGGAATATCACAATGAGTAGACAGAACATTTTACCAAAAACAATTTAAGTAAAAAACTGCAATGCATTTAATCAAGTTTCCCTTCCGGCCACCATTTTGTGTTAGTATGCGTAGCCTGTTTTGCATGGAATACACATGTAGTGATTAATTTTGTGCGATACCTACGCCGAATGACCTTAACCTTTGACATTTCATTACATAAAAAGTTTAATTTTTCAGCAGAAAATACCAATGATTTTCGACTCATTTCTACTTCAGTACATATTCGTTACGACGTCCCTTACACCGTGTATGTAAATAACTTATGTAAACAACCTCTACAATCGTAAAATTTTCACTTATGGCTACGACACGGCCCTAGTCTTCAATGGAGACTTCTGGGATGAAGTCAGGCAAATCGCTGAAGTTGGTCTACAAAGAATCAAAGGATAACACAGAAACACCCCTTACCATGCTGAGGATTATGATAAGAAGCGTACCATGACCAGTGTCTGCTTAACCGCCACCTGCCTGTGTTAGGCATATATTTTTTCTTTGTAAAAAAAACCCTTTTGCCCCTAAGCACGTGTTTCCTTTGCCTTAGGGGTAATCCACCACTGACCCAAGGACTTCACATAAAGATGTACTTTTTATGTTCATTTATCAAATTAATAATTTAAAAAAAATATATAAGACAAGAATGCTTGGAATTAATTTAGTACAGGCCATTTCTGGAAGAGGAGGCAAAGGAGCAGACAGGTCACCTGATAGGAAACGACTACTATTTCTTGAAGGTTTGAAGGTCGTATCGGTCAGAAAATACCGCAGACGATAACTTGTTCCGCAGGTTGGTAGTGCGAGGCAAAAAGTGTCTTGAAAAGAGCACAGTGGTGTAGTATCAATTATCCAAGTGTTGAGGATGAAAATTTTGCCTTGTGAAACGATGGTGGAAAGTTGCGGCCGGTACTAGTCCGAACAATTCCTTGAAGCACTTTCCAATGCAGAGTGAAGCTACATCTTTACGTAACGCTAAGGAATTGAGCCGATGATCTTTTGGCTATCAACGATTCGAGTCGCTTTTCTTTGGATACGGTCCAGAGGGAGAAGCAGGTACTGCGGTGCCCCTGCATAGAGATGAGAACAGTCATCTCAGAATAGAAATCCGATACTGACTGAGGCAGTTAGATTTTTTACTCAATTCTATTCCTTTTTTTTTTCTTTATCTTGTTTTACTTTACTGGTGCACACATCAAAACAATGTTGTGATACGAGGGCGGGTCAATAAGTCCGTGACTTTGGAATAAAACACAGATTTTTTGATAAATAAATCATTTTATTTTTCAACGTAGTCTCCCTTGAGCTCTATACACTTTGTCCAACGCTTCTCCAATTTTTTTATCCCTTCAAAAAAATATGATTTGTCGAGGTCCTCAAAATAGGCCTTTGTTTGCGAGATGACTTCATCATTGGAGTCAAATCTTTTTCTACCAAGCCATTTCTTCAGGTTTGGGAACAAGAAGTAGTCACTCGGAGCCAAATCTGGAGAATAGGGCGGATGAGGGAGCAATTCATAGCCCAATTCATGGGTTTTTTTTTTATTTTTTTTTTATTTAAGTAATTCACAGTAGTAACTTAGATCTAAGACTTAAACTTTATACTCGCCAAACGTATGTTTAACGGCGAGACGCGCTTGTTAATCAATTAAGTAATCCATGCTACACTGTGTGTACATCACACATAGCGAAAATTACAAAAAAAACGTAACAACTTAACTACTTATAACAATTAATTAATTAAACTAAACTATGAAAAATAGTATTACATACTTAAGACATGCCATGGCAACTGCACATGTGTGCACCCTTGCATTGTCTTGGTGGAAAAGAACTTTGAACCATGCGAGATCCCTACGGCTTCCACAATCTCTTGCACTTTCAATCTTCAGTCGGCCAACACCATATCGTGAATTTTTTCGATTGTTTCTGGTGAAGAGACCTCAACTGGGCGTCCAGGACGTTCGGCATCTTCAGTGCTTGTACGGCCACAAGGAAATTCAGTAAACCACTTTTTTACCATTGAAATCGATGGTGCAGAGTCCCCATAGTATTTATCAAGCTTAGCCTTGGTCTCGGTAATGGTTTTTTTTCGCAAAAAATAATGCTTAATAAGCACACGAAATTCACTTATTTCCATTTTTTCCTTAAATTACTGGGTAGTCTGATAAAGATAGCTGTCAAACACTAAATGACGCAGCAAGTTCAAATTTTGACAGGAGTCAACTGACAGATGCCTGTTGACAGGAGTAGTGTTGCTTTTTCAGTAAAGAGGTCAGAAATTCAAAAGTCACGGATTTATTGACCCGCCCTCGTATTTAATTGGAAATGGTCGGTTGTAGATCAGCAGTGCTATCTCTAAGACAGCGTTGCGTACAGCGCTGTCACAGCGTAGAATTTCAAACCAACTAGCACAGACATATACCTAATGGATTAACTTCATTTTGCTTAATATTTGGCAAAACAAATTGTTGCTATTGTGTGTTGATGATGATTTTTGCTATGACTTTAGAGTCTAAGACGATTTCAAATAACTTTTTGTTACGAAATAAAGACATTTCGAGTTTGAGTTTGAAGGACCAAAAGTTTTGACAAAACAACAAAGTAAAAAGATTTAAATTATTACAAACATTACTGATAATTATTTATACCTAACTAAAAAAATTATTTGATATGATAAAGATAACTGTACTGAATACAAGATAAGCGCTCGTGGCCTTTATTTCACACGTGGGACAGAAAACCCAACATTATGTAAAATTTCATTACACGATTGACCATTTTTTACGTTTTGTTCATGTTAAAATTTTAAAATGTTATTATTGTTTGATCGTTACCACGATCAAACAATAATTTCCTTTCCAGTATAGAAAATAGTTATCTATTGTGGGTACAGCTATTGCAAGACGTAAGATTTGTAAATGTTACACGCTCTGTATGCCAATCTCAAAAATAAAATAGTACTTCAAATGACAGTGTCATTAGAAAATGACTGCTCATAGAGAACGGCTAAGAAAATCATGCTGCGATCATCAGAAGCGTAGCAATGGCCGTAAGGCGAAGGAAAAGCCGAGTAATAAAAAAAGTAAGCCGAACTAGTAGGAACGCTGAGTACACATGAGATATTTTATGAAATTGTATAAACGTGTGTGAAACCGAAGGCAAACAAAGTAATACATTTTTTGAAAGTATACTGTTCAGAAATTAACGCATACTAAATACGTAAAGAAAAGCAGTGTCGAGATTGTTTAGCCCAGTTGGTATTGCAAACTATATATTTTGATTTCCCTATTTATCATGACATTCTGGTAAACTATTAGAATGATCTGGCATATTTAAATGTAATTGTAATTAGGTGTAATAACAATCAAAAAAGTTGAAAATAAGACATCATTAAGTAAAAATGTTTCAATGCACTTATTTTATGCACATCATTTGTAATTATTAAGTTAAAATAAGTTAATTGATAATTGTAAATCAACTCGGCTCATGGCGGTTGTCAATTGTCAATAGTTAATTTTCTACCAAACACATTGCACTTTTACTGCTAGCAACTCGCTGTCACGAAATGTCAATAAGTCTGTGTTTAGTTTGATTAGAGTGTAATATTTTTAATGTATTTTTGTTAGAAACGTAATAGACCAAGGGAAAATATCTATTAACAGAGCATCGTAGGTTTCTATTCGGTTGAGCCGATAATGTGCACATCGCCAGGGTGTTTCTAGAAGCATGTACGACAGTACATGCGGCGCTGCCGCAAGCGGCCAATGTGGGAAGTCGCAGCCCGACGGCGACGGGCCGCCGCCGCGCGAGCCTCCGCCGGCGCCTCTCGAGCGCGACTACAGCGGCTTCGATATCGTAAAAGCTACTCAGTACGGTGCCTTTGGCCGCGTCAAGGAGCTCGTCGAAGCAGGATGGGACGTGAATCAGCCCGACCACGAAACGGTCACTCTGTTGCATTGGGCGGCTATCAACAACCGGCGCGAGATAATGCAGTACCTGCTAAGCAAGGGCGCCGCTGTGGACGCAATCGGGGGCGAACTGCAGTCGACGCCGTTGCACTGGGCAACGCGCCAGGGCCACCTCGAGGCCACAGTGCTGTTGATGCGCGCGGGCGCAGACCCATCGATACGCGACGCAGAGGGCTGCGCCAGCCTGCACCTAGCGGCGCAGTTTGGCCACACTGCCGTCGTCGCGTACCTAGTGGCCCGCGGCGTGAACCCCGACGAGCCTGATGCGGGTGGCATGACTCCGCTGATGTGGGCGAGCTGGAAGGTGTCGGCCGTGGATCCCGGACGGCTGCTGCTTACGCTGGGCGCTTCGCCGCGACCAGCTGATCGCGCGCACGGTAACACGGCGCTACACTGGGCTATTCTGGCCCGCAATACTACCGCCATCTCTACGCTCATTTTATATGTCAGTAATACACGATAATTAGTTACTTAAGCTGAGTGATGTGGTTGTGTGATTAATATGCATCTATCTAAAATGATCAGGGTGATGCGAGCCTGGACGTGCCCAACCTTCGAGGAGCGACGCCATTGGCGATGTTGGAAGCCAACTCTGAGTCGTTGTGGGTGGGCGCCAAAGTGTCAGATAAAATTAAGGAACATGCACTGGCTGCGAATAGAAAGAACTTATTTAGACGATTGACATATGACAAGGTTAGTGCTTAGTTTTCCTGCCTCTAATATAACTATAAAAAAATAATAGTTAAAAAAAACTAAAATTAAAAACATGCTTTTATAGAAAATCCAACTAAAAAACAGAAAATAAAGTTTAATAAATTTGGATTAAGAATAGTGTAAATTTGATTAAGTTTGATTAAGTACAGTGTAAAAAAAAAATGAATGTACATTACAGTAAAAAAGCGTGGCGTGCATCTGAAGTGCTTTTTATGATATTATCAAAGTGATGATTTTTCTACTCATCTGACAATAAATGTTTATAACTATTGACACTATGCACCCCACGCTTTTTTTACAATAATGTACATTCATTTTTTTTTACACTGTGCCATGCCATTATCTTAGGTAAAAAAAGTAATACTTATGAAACTGTAAACATATCAAGTTGGGTATATTCTATTTTCTAATAATAATATTCTCGTTTCCCTTTTCTCAAGTTTGTATTGCTGACTTCCTACTGAGTACAGTTGTTAAGTTCACCTGTTGCAAGTTACTGTATTTGGTGTCACGTTTACACTATATTTAGTGCTGCCGACATTGCTTGCTCTGAACTGTGCATTCACTGTTGATGTTCAACAAACTGATACAGATCAATCTGGTAATATACTCCTCACCACTTGCACTAATCAAAGTGTACAAATAGGTCATTGTGTAACAAATAAAAATACTTATCAAATAAATTTTTCGTTCTTAAATGTACATATTTACATACATGGGCGTAGCCAAGGTGGGACAGGGTGGGGCATTGGCCCCACCCTGGCTCTGACCTGAAGGTACCTAAGCAAACCTAAATATACTTAATATCCGTAAGAAAGTTATTTAAAAACCTAAATAAATAAACAACCTATTATACCTATGTGTAATTGTTTACTTACTGTACCTGAAAGTACTATCTTTAGATAGTTATAAACCTCTAAATTGACTGATTAACTAATTGGCATATGCCCAGAGCCCAAACAGCTGAAGTTGAAGACACATTTTTGAATGGATGATTTTGTGGTGTGGGTAGGTGATCAATAAGAAAGTGTTTTGGATAATTCAAGTTATACACACGAGTATAGATACAGGGTGTAACCTTATTGTATGAAAAAATAAACCAGGGTACGACCGCAGGTATAGTTTGCTAGTTACATATTTTTTTAGTCATCTGCCCCATCCTCAGCCCATGACTAGCTACGCCCATGCATACATTAACTTGGGCACTTTATTATGTGATTTTATTAATGACAGGAAACTAAATATGTGTCAGGATAGGGTTTGAATTTTGAAGTCTGTCTTGTCTTTAGCATTTTGATACTGTTCTGGGATAGTCAAGGTGTTTCAACACACAAGCTAACAGCCAGAGATTATAAATTCATATCTATCAAGTGCCATATCATATCAGATAAATGCCACACTATCTTTAGTTTGTAAAATATAATGGTTTATCTGCCTTTCTCACAATCAGAGTAGAATCGATGGCTAAAGTATTAAAAGCAATTTCATTGATCATTAATGATTACTAGTACTGAAATACTTAACCATTATTACCTGGAATGGTAAACAATTAATCATTAAAAAAAAAAAATCATATTATTATGATTGTACTACAGAATATCTTCATAGATTTTTAGCTATTTTTTCATGAGACCATACAAATATGTTTTCTTTAGAGGTTACTTTGGCAACCCCAGCGCCCGCCGACCGCTGGCACCCGGGACTTTCGGCCTGACGGCCGTTCAGATATCTTCTAAGATATTCAATTTAATGATATGTGTAAAAGGCAGTTGAAATCTACATTAGATGAACAACTTATCTAATGTAAGAGATAAAAATGGTTATTATGGGTCACCCTTAGGAGATAGACATATACTATGACGGACTTTATTGTAGATCTTTTTAACATACGCAATTCCGTAGTTTATTATTTTGATTTATTTTGTAGCCAGCTCGTTTAGCCAGCATTTGCAATGCAAGATTGCAAAATATTTAGTATTACAAATCTCGGCTTTTCTCTATTATAATTAATTATAATATGCATGTAATGCAAAATCCGCTGCGCAGTTTAAAATATCTAAGCGTGTAGGTGGCGTTATACGATGTAAAGATGCTTGAACATGCATTGTTCCATAGCGGTTTACCATTTTTACTTTGTTATGTTACTCATCATAACTTCACCAATTTGAACAATTCAAAAAGCAATTTGCACCTACATATATAGCCTAAATTTGTTATCTACATTTTTGTGGACTAATTTCAACAAAAAATGGTTATTATTGCTAAACTATTTAGTATAATATTTAGATATACCTCCTTGCGGACGGTTTTGTGCACTTTGATGAGTACGTTCAAAATATATCGCATTTTTTATGTGTTATCAATAGTTTTTGCAGCGCACGCGAAGAAAGCAAATATTTTTGGCAATTTTTTTAGACAATTTTTTTCATACCTGCCTTCAAACGATCGTTATTTTTATAGAAAATTAATTATGTTTTCTAACTAAAATATAGCCTATGTTACTCGCTGATAATAAAACTTTCTATAGATGAAAGAATTTTTAGAATCGGTCCCGTAGTTTCGCAGCCTATCCATTAAAAAACACAAAAATATACTTTCCTTCTTAAAATATTAGTATAGATCTGCATCTTATTGCATCAAAGGTAATGGCAACTCTTCACAGTAACCTCTTTAATGTACATTTTAACCGAGGGAGGGCCATGGCTCGATACAAATGGGACATTTCGACCGGAGTGATGCCATGGCTTTGCAGCAAACTGGTGTTAAGCCATTATTTTGTTGATTTTTTTCCTACCCTCACAATGTTTTCAAACATAGTAATGGTGATACGCAGAAGTTCCGGTGGTGGTGCGTGGTGGTGATGCCGTTTGTGGCGTTCTACCTGACGGGACTGGTGCTGGAGATGGACGCGCTTTACCTGATCAAGGGGTTTCTACTCGTCTGCTTCTATGCACTGATGCACTTTGTGAGCAACTTGCTCTTCGACGATGACCTCAAGAATATATTGCCGCTGAGTGTATACCTCGCTACCAAGGTAAACTTACCATGTCATACGTGTCTGCTGTGAACAGGAAATTAAGATACGAACTGTAAAAAATTGTACGCTGTCACTCCGCCTAGAAATTCTTGAAACAGTTTGGGCTGCAGAGCATGCCAGAGAATTAGTGACACCTCGCCTTTACATCAATTCACCTTATATTGCTAAGTTATAAATCGATCGAGAAGCATACATGCGGTGCGGTGTACGTTACAGATGTGGTTCTACATAACGTGGGCGGTGTTCGTGGCGAGCGCGGTCAGCGTTTGGGCCACGCTGTTGTTCGTGGTGAGCTCGGGCGCGCTCTGGTACACCTTCATACGGTCGTGGCGCAGCGACCCCGGGATCATCACCGCCTCGCGCCAAGACAAGTTCCGGGTAATAAAACTGCACTCAATATCTTATATTTGCCTGCTATATTTTGCGATTCCCTAAAAAGCGGTCACCGTAAGCTGATATTACTGTACACTTCCTTACTTTCTAAGTTACGGTTTGTAACTTATATAATTATTGCGTTTTGGGTAAGGGCGACTATGTCCACTACAATCGGCTGAAAATTATGTACTGCATGTTATAAATGCTCAGAACTCTTCAGATACCGTAGGAAGTTAATAATTTTAGTAAAGTATGAGTAGCAGCAGTGCAAAACAGGAGTTTCTGTGACATATTGCCATCACTAGCAAAATTTCTGATCTTGATCTTTATGAAATGTTTGTAATACGTTAATCGATTAAGTAATTATTTGCAGACAATCATCGAGTTATCGGAGTCGTCTCGAGGCGGGTTCGAACCGTCGCGGTTCTGTTCGGCGTGCCTCGTGCGGCGGCCGCTGCGCTCCAAGCACTGCTCTGTGTGCAACCGCTGCGTGGCCAAGTTCGACCACCACTGTCCCTGGGTCGGCAACTGCATCGGTGAGTGTCCGCACGTGAGTCGCGGGTGAACTGTATCGGTGTTTGGATGTCATCGTTCGAGACGCTCGTCTGCATTCTATTTATATTGCTCTCACATAATTTTGTATTGCCAAGATCCTCGACGGTAGTGGTTTATATCGGTGAGTCAGACGCTGTCTCTCGGCACCGATAACGATCTATACTTCTCCACGTATTCCAGGGGCAAAGAATCACCAATATTTCATCGGGTTTCTCGTGAGCCTTCTCGTGATGTGCGGCTGGATGCTGTGGGGAGGCGTGGAATACTTCCTGGCGGAATGTCCGAGCGGAGCCGGCACGCCGCTGGAGACCGTTCAGGACTGGGCGCAGTGTAACGCGTGGCTCGCCTGGGTCATGCTCAACGCCGTCTTCCACCTCTTCTGGGTGACCGTGCTGACGTGCTGTCAACTGTATCTGGTACGAGTTTCGTCATATCGTTCTCGTCACACGTCGGCCGAGAGAGCTCTGACGAACGACCGCGTCTCGCCGCAGGTGGTGTGCCTCGGCATGACGACCAACGAGCAGCTGAACCGCGGGCGCTACCGACACTTCCAGTCGCGCGGCGGGCGCTCGCCCTTCTCGCGCGGCCCGCTGCACAACTGCGCCGACTTCTTCGGCCTGCGCCTGTGCGGCCTCCTGGCGCCGCGCGCGCGCGACTGGGCCGCGCCCGCCGACGACGACGACGACGACAGCGAGCCCATGCTGCGCCAGCGACACCACGTCGTGTGAGCGCGGCCCCACGCCGGCGACGGCGACTTCGTGTAGGCGCCCCCCGCCCCCCCCCCCCCCGCACGTGTGTAGTGCGCAGTGTGCGCGGTGGGCCCGCGGGCGGCGGGGGGCCGTCGCCGTGCGAGGGACTCGCGCTCGCTCGTCAGAGGACACCGAAACTGACCGACGTCGATGAGACGAAGACGATAGAACTTACTCGCACTCTATCACCACTCTTAAAGTACACGCCGGCTTCCCCCACCGTTCCGTAGTGATCGCAGGAAGTGACCGAGTATATCGTCTATCCGCTGATAATATTATTTAGCTTCGGTGCGTTCCGCTTGCGCTCTAATCGCTTCGACTTGTATATAGAGAAAGTAGAGGAGAGGCGCACGACTGCAGCTGTGACACCGAACCGCTCACGAGCGTGTTCGACGTCAGGCCCCCGGACTCTACACCTTATACGTACCTCAATATATACATTGGCCGTTTAGTTTTTTTGCACGGCTCTTATTACACAAAACACAGCCCGACTGATGCAATCCAACATAGATCAACAAATCGAACAACATCTTTATACATTAAAATTATTTATTGACCGCTTAATATATGTTAAATTTTTGACTGTCACATTTAATATATAAATGAAAGACTAAATGAAATATTTATATGCGCAGAAGGTACATAATATCAAATATGATTATACACATAGATGTAATAGTTCATCAAAACATTGAAATGTTAACTCACGTTCACTTCTGCAGCTACAGAACACGGCAGTCTTTCAAATGTGAAATATGGTATAAGAAATATCGTACATCCTCATCTGTTAGTTGATGATGACAAAGACTGACTGCACGGATGGCGTAGTGGTTTAAGGTCACGCCGCTTCCTACTGCACCGAGTGTTGTGGGTTCAAACCCCACATGGGACGACACTTTGTGTGATCCACAAATTGTTGTTCTGAGTCTGGGTGTTCTTTGTGTCCGTTTCATGTATGTTTGTAAAGTCCCCCGCGACACAGGATATATTCCTTAATACGGAAGCTGTCTTTAAAAAAAAAAGATGGTATGTTAAATGTATGTACATTGATTAATCGCTAATAGATTGTAGCTAACTAACCCAATACTGCACTGTTTACAATATTGGTACGCCAGCACTTGCAGGTGTCCTTAGACGGCGTGTAACTGTCAGCGTGACGCGGACGATCCCGCAGTAACGAGGTGGAGAGAACATATATACTCACAGCTTGTTATTGATTTACAAATATAAAATATTACAAATATCAATTTAACTCAGGGTGGAATCCCGTAGACTTTGATCAGGGTGGCAGCCGAAGAGAGACCCCCGCACCGCTTGTCCCTTGTAATATGCCCCTGTGGGGAAGGTGGAAGGGTGGACGGTGTCGCGTGACAGGCTGTAGTCACCACCAGGTGAGTGCTTTGGTCGTTTGTCCCCTAAGTCGTAAAATATAAATTTTGCTCAAGATCCGCCAAAAAGTAAGGAATATAGAAGAGTAAGTATACAGATCTCTTGTCAGCACAGGATAGCCGCGGATACGGATATCCTGAACATCACCATTTGCGATTCATCAATGTACTCTTCTAACATACACTCTCTCTCTCTCTGGTCGGTCCCTCACGTCTGAGGATCGTGGTCAGCATATGAGGATGTACATTTCATACACCATAAACTATTCAAAGTTTAATCGAAATGAAAATCCACCGCTGCGTGGCGCTGTGAGCGCGGAGCTGGGAGAGCTGTTTGTTTAGTGTATTTAATAATATTTGCTATTAAGTTTACCGATAATGTAATACAATAGTAAACATTGTTTATTTCTTGTACAAATTACCGTTAGTCTTCGGCTTAGTGCCGACAAGTAGTTGCGACATCACAAATCGATGTGCTTGTAGTAATGTATAGACGCGAATGTAACAACGTTGTATTTGTGTGTGTCTATTGGCGCACACAAATATAATGTAACGTTGTTTATAGTTTTGTATGAAACGTTGAGCCACAGCACACACACACCGCAGCAACCTCCCGCTGTGTGTGTGTGTGTGCGCTGTGGCTGAGTGGGCTATACGCAGTGTGTGTGTGTGTGTGTGTGCGCGTGCGCAATGGCGTTATATGTGAACTGACGAACAAATTACTTTACTGTAAATTATTTTAGTACAATACCGTGTTGCGGGTGACACTGATACGAAATGTAAATTTAAGGTTAGCGATTATAAATATGTAATAGTGAGAAACGAAGCTTCCTTCTTCTATAATCGTCCAGTTTTTAATATTTTTGATTACATTACTCATATATTAACTAACGCGTCATAGGTCGAGGTGAACGTTGTCTAATTTATTACCGATCGCTTGTTTTGACTCGTCCCGTGTGAGTGGTCTCGTGTGGGTGGTCCCGTGTGTAGTTCCTTGTTAATAAAGAGTCAGCTAAGATAATATATATTTTTAAATGAACATAGAACTACACATGCAAACGTGGAAAATGTTGTGTACATGTCGTTTGCAGCAGAGACAGAATGAGACGAAATATGTTGTCTTAATTCTGGCCCTCAATTCTTTACAATATGTTATCTGTGTACCTACATGCCGTAGCTCTGTGGTGTGGGAAAACATGCCTGTGTTAGAAAACGTCTCGTCGATCAAATTGTAAAGTTTTCTAAATTATTTGAACACGATAAAATCAATTCTATCAGTCAAGGGTCATAAATGCAGTATCACCGTAATGCTTATATCCGCACGCCGGTTAGGTGTCTATCTCTGAGGGTGATGTTTCAATGCACACACATGTTATAACCAGATAATACAGACGTATAATGTTGGTTGGTCACATGCATGTGTGCATAACACTTTTCTTCGTATTGAACTGCCAGTGGTAGCACCTAAATTCAACACAATAGTCATTGGGACCAGTGGCATAATAGTAAGATTCGATTACTTCCAGTGTTTGTCTGATGGCGGGGGGCGACTGTTCGAGCCTCTGTGCCTGATCACTTTTTGAGCTTTTTGTTTTTATTTTTTGAATTGTTACTTTAAAATGACTGTAAGTTTACTGAAAAAGGTAGAATATATAATTTATTTATTATCAATTTTTCAAACAAAGAACGTTAAAATAAACACATTTAAGTTTAACATTTTAAACCTACATTAGATACATACAGTCGGAGAGCCGACTACAATAATTTTAGTGTCAGTTACGTCAAAGGGGCCAAGCTTATTGCCGTCTACCGGGTACATATATTTCTAAATTACACGAAGACTATCCCACTCGGCCAAATAGAGCGATAGAAAAATTAGTCCGGGGAGCATTAGGCAGCTTCGTCATGTACGGTGAAAACCAAGGCGTTTAACCCGCAATGACATACGGAGCCGAGACGTGGACACTCACCGTTGGATGGTCAACAAGTTGAAAGTGACTCAGCGTGCGATGCTGCGTGTTTCCCTAGTCGATAACATTCGAAACGAAACTACTAGACAGAGAACTAGAGTATCAGCTGTAATAGAAGTGTGTCCGTGATGTCTCCTGGCGCACTGATGGTCGGGGGAGGGACGCCTTCGTTCAGCAGTGGACGACGATAGGCTGATTATTGACAGACCAAATGATCGTGATCATCACACAATATTTGTGCTGGGTGGTAATCGAACCCGCGACATCTGGCTTAGAAGCGAGGATCGCTAAGTGGTAGACCAACAGGCCCGTCTCGTTAGTATGTTGTGGTGAAAATTCTTGTAAGCATTTAAAGTGTTTAATATTATTTTAGTAACTTATATAAATGCTGTTTATTTTTATACTTTGAATAGGTATCTATTGACTATTTAATACAATAGGGATCAAGCAAGCACCTACATGATTAATGTTGCTGTTTTGTACTAACTATGAGGCTGCGTATTTGAGGTTTGACTATTACCATTCTGTTCTGACGTCTTTTAAGAAAGTTAGCAGGACTTTCTTAGTAAACGTTGAAGAGTAAGAAACATGATGTTGAATAATTTTATCACTATGACTAAGTATCCCTAAAACAGGGAGGGAGGCCTTTTCTCGAAGTTTTTTTAATTGTGTAATGTTGACTATTGTATATACTTACAAATATTTGCATACTGTGTTAATAAACATAGAATTGAATTTTATATTGAGATAATTTGACCTAATTGCATGCTTTAATGAATCTGATTCTGACGGGACGGTGGTCCTTTCAATTCTGATAAAGGTTAAAGACTTAGATACTTTCTATCTGGTACGTATTGAATGAATATTATATTAATTATTTTTAAATTGAATGATTATCATTATATAAACATTATATTAAACATATATACATATACATATAAACAAACGAATAGAAACATTTTTGGGGTCTCGAATACAATAACACTGAAGTACAATGTATACGTCAAAACGTTCCAGGTTTATTTTAGAGAGATTAGGCAATGTTGTAAATCGTGTTGTATGTGGGCCTTCTTCCGTAGTGAGTACACTCTCATTGTTTCTGAACATAAACGTGGCTGAGGATCGTTTCGTTCGTTTGTTCGGTGGTCTACACCGGGAGTGGATATCACTCCATCGTCTTCTGTACATTGCATCTCTGTTTTCTTTTATTTTTTTTCATTTTAATCATTTAACTTCATATTTATTTTGTAAACATGACATTACATTCTTTGTCCAAACCGGGTTGATGGTTTGACTGGGGGATGATAAGTTCTTTATCTGGTCTGTACACCGGGTTGCCGATCGGCCTTTCGAGCGTTTACCTTCAGTGCTAACAATCACACTAAGATTGCCGAGGTCCCCGTTGCTTGTCCATATTATAATTATGTCCGAAGTAAGAAAAAAATCGTTTACAGTTTTATTCATTTGATCGGATGGACACGTTTGCGCGCTTACATATCTAAATAGGATAATTATAAGTTATTATTTATTAGGCGCTTGTGTCAGTTAGCCCCATGGACCATATGGCAGTCTCAATCGTGTGCGTTACCCCAGCAAAATAATGTCGAAAATGGTCATTTAA